TCAATTCACTAGGGAATGAGTTCCATAGACTAGGTCCCTTTATTTGCATAGAGTGTTTACACAGATTAAGTTTGACCCAGGGGATATCAAAGAGATACTGAATATCTCTGACTTATTACTGAATTTTGTAACTAGCTCATCAAGATTGTAACTTGCTTAGCTAAATGAATTATGGGGTTCAGTCCCTGAGCCCATTATGTGCCTCTGTAACCCTAAGATTGTAACTTGCTTAGCTAAATGAATTGTGGGGTTCAGTCCCTGAGCCCATTATGTGCCTCTGTAACCCTTTCCACTACCGTCCACAAGATGAGTATGGGGTGCATAAGAAATGAACTAAACTAAAAAAAACTACTAGAATCACTAATAGTACTGCAACGGCTCTTGATCACATCTGGACCAACATAACCTCTCCGCTTACTTCAGGGATCATCATCGATAGCACTACAGACCATTACCCCACATTTCTCCTAACCAACATTAACAAACCACCTCTAGAGACAAGGGAGATAAGCTTTAGGCTGCACAATGAAACTGCTATAGGCCATTTTATAGATGCTGCTGCTAATGTCAACTGGGAGTCCGAATTAGGTAACATAGGGGACATCAACCTAGCAGTGCAATATTTTCTTCAAAAAACTCTCAGCCTTTATAACACCCACTGTCCTATGCTAACGAAACAAGTCACAACTAAAAGGCTAAACAATCCTTGGCTTACAAAGGGGATACTTAAATCCATTAATAAAAACATGACCTTGAGAAGAAGTATAGGTTAGTAATCGTCTCCAAAGAATTTTCAAAGAATTACTCATCATTGCTATTTAAAATACAGTAATTACAAGAGCCAAAATTAAATATTACGAAGATAAATTTACCCACACAAAGGGCAATATTAAGAAAATATGGAGCACAATTTCACAAATATTGGGATCAAAGAAGATTTTAAATAACAAACCAATACTCCTGTCCAGTAATGATGGTCTGCTTACAGCCTCTGATACTGCTATTGAATTCAATAGGTTCTTCTCTTCCATTGGGTCATCCCTTGCAAATGATATTCCATCTTCCAGTACTAATATTCAGGACTATCTTACAGGTAGCTATCCACAGTCTCTGTATCTAATGCCTACTAATTCCACTGATGTTACTGACATAATCCTTTCCCTTAAAACCAAGTCTGGTGCCCTTGAGGAGATACCAACTCTAATTTACAAGAAAGCCTCCAGATCTTTAGCTCCTGCTATTGCATTGCTCTACAACAAGTCACTTGAACTCCAAACCTTTCCAGATATTCTAAAAAAAGGCGTGAGTAACCCCTGTCCACAAATGTGGTGATCCCACTGATGTTAACAACTACAGACCTATATCAATTCTGCCAAACTTGTCAAAAATATTTGAAAAACTAATCTACAAGCAGCTTTGCTCTTATCTAGCCAAACTCAATATACTTAGCTCTTGTCAATATGGCTTCAGACCCAAAAAAGCACTAACGATGCACTTATTAGTATAATTAACTTGATACATGCAGCTCTTTATAAAAATGACTTCCTTGTTGGGTTATTTGTGGACCTGCGCAAGGCTTTTGACACTGTCAACCACCAAAACCTTCTTCTTAAATTTCATCATTATGGAGTCAGAGGTCACTCCCTGCAATACCTTAAGTCTTACCTTACTGACAGGCTCCAGTATGTTTCTGTGAATAATTCAATTTCTCCCACCCTACCCACCAACATCGGTGTTCCTCAGGGCAGCATACTTGGCCCTCTTCTCTTTCTCATCTACATTAATGACCTTCCAAATGCCTCCCAACATCTCAAACCAATTCTGTTTGCTGACGACACGACCTTCACTTACTCCAGTCCTGACCCCCTTGCTCTAAATGTCACAGTGAATACTGAGCTAAATAAAGTCCATCTCTGGCTAACTGCCAACAAACTCACCCTCAATATTGACAAAACTTGTTATATTTTGTTTGGCAATAAATCATCAAATCAAATAAATCTCAGGATAAACAATACCCAAATTTGTAACAAAGTAAATGGTACATTCCTTGGCGTTCTCATTGACCACAAGCTGAATTTCCAGGGACACATTCTAAATATATAAAAAAAGTTTCAAAACTGTTGGCATTCTTTCTAAGATCAGATATTATGTACCTCGCCCTGCCCTGGTGACACTCCATTACTCTCTCATCTATCCTTATCTCAACTATGGTATTTGTGCTTGGGGTTCTACTACCCAAAATCATTTACGTCCTCTAATTACTCAACACAAAGCTGCTATTAGGACAATTTCTAACTCTGGCCCCAGACATCACTCGGTACCCTTACCCAAATCTCTGAATATGTTAGATATTAAGTCACTGCACATCCTCTCATGTGTATTTATATATATATATATATATATATATATATATATATATATATATATATATATATATATATATATATATATATATATATATATATATATATATATATATATATATATATATACTGTATATATATATATATATATATATATATATATATATATATATATATATATATATATATATATATATATATATATATATATATATAAAACGCTGAATTGTAATGTCAAACCTGACCTTAAAAGCTTCCTAGAAGGTTGTAACAGATTCCATGAGCACCACACCAGAAACAAATACCTATTTGATATTCCAAGAGTGCGACTTAATCAAACTAGAAATGCTTTACAAATCAAGGGACCCAGAATGTGGAATGACCTTCCAAATTATGTTAAAGACTGTACCTCTCCCAACTAGTTTAAGATAATTCAATTTCAATTTCTTATTTTATTATGCACCCCATACCCATCCCGTGGGTGGTGGTGTAAAGTATTACAGAGGCACATAATCGGTTCAGGAATTGAACCCTCTAGTCCGTTTAGCTAAGCAAATAACAATCTTTTGACGATAGTTACAAAATTATTAATGTTATATATACATGTACACATACTCATGCATACATGTACATATACATACGTATACATACACATACATATTTAATCACCACACAAATACACACATCAATAATCTTTTGTGTCACAAGTGATTCAACAAGAGGTTCACAACAGTCACTATACAAGGCACTTTACATCTATGATGAGTCGCACAGTTTTTTTTTTTTTTATTATTATTTTCTACCACAGACGTGGCCACACATTTACAATGCTAACCAGCATATATACATTTTCTTCTGTCCTCCATGGACAGGGTTAGAGAAATGTTAAACATAGAGTTCAAGGGTTTATTGAACACTCAACCACAGAAGGTGATTCGGTGCTTTTAAAATGCTAAGCTAACCTACATACGTAAATACATAGATACACAGATTTACGTATGCCCTACATAAAGTGTTTGATGTGTCTTTTACAGTCGCATAGTTACTAGTCATGTGCTCCACACCCACCCAACTGGGCGGCAGCTTTACAGTCATGTGCTCCACACCCACCCAACTGGGCGGCAGCTTTACAGTCATGTGCTCCACACCCACCCAACTGGGCGGCAGCTTTACAGTCATGTGCTCCACACCCACCCAACTGGGCGGCAGCTTTACAGTCATGTGCTCCACACCCACCCAACTGGGCGGCAGCTTTACAGTCATGTGCTCCACACCCACCCAACTGGGCGGCAGCTTTACAGTCATGTGCTCCACACCCACCCAACTGGGCGGCAGCTTTACAGTCATGTGCTCCACACCCACCCAACTGGGCGGCAGCTTTACAGTCATGTGCTCCACACCCACCCAACTGGGCGGCAGCTTTACAGTCATGTGCTCCACACCCACCCAACTGGGCGGCAGCTTTACAGTCATGTGCTCCACACCCACCCAACTGGGCGGCAGCTTTACAGTCATGTGCTCCACACCCACCCAACTGGGCGGCAGCTTTACAGTCATGTGCTCCACACCCACCCAACTGGGCGGCAGCTTTACAGTCATGTGCATGCGTTACCTACAGTAAGCAAATTTTGGATCCTTCGCCAAGATCTCGGGCAGCACATCATTATGAATGAAGTACTTACACATTTCTTGGACACTATTGATGGTGTTATCTCTAAATTCCGCGATTTTTTCACATTCCATTATATAATGACGCAAAGTATGCGAATACAATTTAAGATAAAAACTAAGTACTACCTAATTAAGCTCCATGTAACCTACCTCACCCCTAAAATGTCAACCCATGTCTACTATTTTAAACAATGCTGTTTGTTGACCAAATTGTATTTTTACTATTTTTTCTGCCATGTTCCCTCCCCCCTTTTATTTTTTTATTTTCTCAGCACAATTTATACTTTATCTCAATTAGTCTTAAGTTTTAGTCTCTGTTTTTCCTGCCCGAAACGGTTTGCGTAATAGTGGCTTTAGGCATAATATGTACTAGCTCTATCTATAAATCCATCAACGTTTTGTATCTCACCTTGTATGTATGTACTTTACCTGAATAAATATTTGATTTGATTTGATTTGATTGAAATACTTCAATGTGACCTTAGTATGATTTTTAACGTTCGAGTTCAACAAAAGTATCTCCACCATTATTGAAAATCGTGTTCGTAGTAATATTAGTATGTGTAAATTTAATTATCGCGTACACTGCGTACTTAAATCAAGTATTTCATTAATGGTTTAAGTGATTCCGAGATGGAACTGAAATTGTTCAGGTGGAGTGAACGCGAGGAGTACTATGGCGGCAGTTTGTAGTGAGCTGCGCGAGGGTGAGTAGGTGTAAGGGCAGCTGCCTCACACCTTGCTCTCCCTGTATACTGTTATTGAAGGTAAACTGCACACGTTATGTTCCTACCAATCTCACACCTTGCTCTCCCTGTATACTGTTATTGAAGGTAAACTGCACACGTTATGTTCCTACCAATCTGACACCTTGCTCTCCCTGTATACTGTTATTGAAGGTAAACTGCACACGTTATGTTCCTACCAATCTCACACCTTGCTCTCCCTGTATACTGTTATTGAAGGTAAACTGCACACGTTATGTTCCTACCAATCTCACACCTTGCTCTCCCTGTATACTGTTATTGAAGGTAAACTGCACACGTTATGTTCCTACCAATCTCACACCTTGCTCTCCCTGTATACTGTTATTGAAGGTAAACTGCACACGTTATGTTCCTACCAATCTCACACCTTGCTCTCCCTGTATACTGTTATTGAAGGTAAACTGCACACGTTATGTTCCTACCAATCTCATATACTCATTAGTGTGTCAATAAAGATTATTTCTTGGCTTGGTAGTTGGTCCACGACCAGTACGTCACACTGTCTTACTAGTGACCTCACATTAACATAATAATTGAATGAACAAATCCTCTAAGGCCGTGATGAGAGTTCGAACTTTGAAGTTCGAACCCTCATCACGGCCCTTGTGATTTTTTTTGTATTGTGGACCATTTTAAATACTTTACCATAGACATATATGAAGTTCTAAAGAAGATACATGTGTTTTAATAATCGCCGAGCTCGGACCCTGCACAGACTGATCGACAGAGCAACTCTCTCAGATCAATGCTTATTTCACTTAAATTTGTTAATAAACACATGTTTTATATGTCTTAAGAAAGACAGAAATATATGCTTCATTTTAAATGCTTTACCATATAAAGCTCAAGTGAAGATACATATGTTTTTATTGTGGCGTTCAGTAGCTTGTTGGTCATGAAGCCTAGATACGCTAATAAAGGCTAAAATATTATATACCTTCAGAAAGATCGAGATTTAAACGTTATTGTGAGTGTACCGAAGGAAATATATCTTATTGGAGGACAAAGATACATCAATTTTAAATTAGGTCAAGACTCTACTCTCGCCCCATCTATTGGAGATTCTGTCCACCTAATGACCCAAAGCTACTCAAAGCCTCCTAACATTACTTAAGTAATGAAGAAATATGGTATATTTACTCACTATAATGTTGGTGCTGAATGCAGAACATGAGAAAACATATTTACGATGAAGTAATATAATTTCATTATGAAATAGGTAAATATGTGGCCTCAAAGGAAGTAGACGGTCCAAGTGTCAATGTTGTGGAGCGACTTATCCAAGATATGTTGCTGCCTGGAAAGTGTTGGCATATCAACCTTCTATATACAGTGATCCAGTCGTCTCACTTCTCTCATCAAATTATTGCAAATTTAATTTGATATTAACAAGTAGAATGTGTATTTCTAATAATATCTAACCTAACTAGCCAGAAAACATTTAAGATTTATTGAAAAATACTGTACATGTCTGGAAGTTAGACTTCATAGAACAATAGTGTTGGTCTATATATACTAATCGTTATTCGTTAGTGTGCGTTCGCTACTTAAACTACCATTTACTGTACTTATGTATAATCTCCCATGTCTCTTCGCACATGGAACACCGAACCCTACATCCTTTCTGATCTATCGTTTAATAGAGATTCACAAATGAAGCTTATAACTGTATAAATTATACAAGTTATCAAAAAGTCATAGAGATTAGATCTTATTGAGAGAGGAAAGATATTTATATTTTAAAGAAGGTTTTTTGGCCGACGCTCTCACTATTGATGGAACTACAACCTAATGAAGATCAGTGTTAATTTTATGTAGATGCTGTAATAAACGAAAGTTTGTCATCAGAAAGGTAGAAATATAGGCTACATTTTAAATCCTTTGTCATAAATATAACTGAAGTGAAAGCAAAGATATATGCATTTTGATAGTTACTTGATGGCTAGCTCTGAGTATGTGAAGCTCTGCACTCCAGCTAATAAATTGTGTAATTAATTTGCATATATGCTAATTAACCTTAAAAATCTAAGTCAGAAGAAAGACATGTGTAGACGTTAATGTGACAAAATTTCAAGGAATATATACGTTACGTTAAATAAATAATACCACCCCATCGCCGGTGTCCGGACACAAGAAAACTACCTATTGGCATCAGTGACCAGCCAGGCGGGGAACACAGGCTGCACAATACTGATAAAATATGTAATTCACAGAGATGCGCTGATAAACATTAATGTTTTACTTTTTATTAAAAATAAGCATGCCATATGTGAGTTTAGTTCATTTATTATGCACCCCATACCCATTTTGTGGGTAGTAGTGGAAAGGGTTACAGAGGCACATGATGGGCTCAGGGACTGAACCCCATATTTAATTTAGCTAAGCAAGTTACAATCTTGATAAGCTAGTTACAAAATTCAGTACAAGACGTCACATTATCAATGGGTTTGAGATCGACCACAAGTACAGTTTCTGAATTAAGCAACTGACATGTCTCCACATGTCAGTTGCTTAATTCAGAAACTGTACTTGTGGTCGATCTCAAACCCATTGATAATGTGACGTCTTGTACTGAATTTTGTAACTAGCTTATCAAGTGTCACAATTGCTAGTGTCACAATTGATATGTTTGTCCTGCACATGGGGGGGAGGGGGCATTCAGTGGGCAGCGGTGGATAGATTAGATTGGATTAAATTTTTTATTCAGGTAAAGGTACAGTATACACATTGAATTACATACATAATGTTGGGTTTAAAGATATAGTACATACAATACCTAAAGCTACTAGTAGCACATAACGTTTCGGGCAAGGTGAGGGGGAAAGAATAAAAACGCTTAGATAATTTAAATTTTAAGCTCAATTACTATTAAGTTTGTGTTTAAAAACATAAAAGGGGGAACAAGGCAGAGAATAGCAATTAAACAAGTTGGTCAACAAACAGTATTGATTACAATAGTAAGACATGGGTTGATATTTAGGGGTATTAAGGTAGGTTACATGGAGTTTATTAGGTAGTTTTTAGTTTTTATCTTAAACTGGTTGAGAAAGGTACAGCCTGTGACATGATTGGGAAGGTCATTCCACATTATGGGTTCTTTGATTTGTAGAGCATTTCTAGTTTGATTTAGTTGTACTCTTGGGATATCAAATAGGTATTTGTTTCTGGTGTGGTGCCCATGGGTTCTGTTACAACCTTCTAAAAAGCTTTTAAGGTCATGATTGACATTACAGTTCAGAGTTTTAAATATATAAGTTACAATCACTTGGTTACTACCTACAGTTAGCAAACTGGGGATATTTGGCTAAAATCTCTGGTAGAAGAAAATTTTGAATGAAATATTTACACATCGTTGGAACATTGGTTATAGAGTTGTCTCTAAATTCATGTATCTTTTCGCACTCCATTACATAGTGACGGAGGGTGTGCGAATAATTTTGTTGACAGTTTACATTTGGTCAGGTCTACATCGGCAGATAATGAGAATTCCCAGAGATACTTGTAACCGAGTCTAAGCCGAGCAGTAGTAACATCTAGAAGTCTGCTAATTTTATTGGATGAACCATAGATGTGTGGCTCCTCTTGCATGATGATATGATAGATGGAATTACTGGTGTTGATTTCACTTTGCCTCAGATCTACAAGATTTTGTTGAAGCTCTTTGTGTACTACTGCTCTCAGATTGCTCATTGACAATCCAAGGTTACACTCAATGTCACCTTTAAAAGGCAACTTCTGTGGCCAACTCATCAGCTCTATCATGCATTCAGAGGCCAACATGAGATGGAGACATGTACCCAGATGAGCCACAGACGTTAGAAAGAATTTTTTCAGTGTCAGTGGTTAATAAATGGATTGCACTAGGCAGTGATGTGGTGGAGGCTGACTCCATTCACAGTTTCAAATTTAGATATGATAGAACCCAGTAGGCTCAGGAACCTGGATCTAGATTCACGAAGCTCCATGTATTTCTTCGTAAGTAGGTTTGCTACGAAGGTTCCTAAGTATGCCCTAAGAAGATGCTTAGGTGCCATTCACGTAGGTCCACTTAGGAAGATATTTGTTGGTTCACCTGCGTGCCGATAGGTCACTACTGTGTTTCGTATGGCCAATCAGAGAGCAGGCAACATTCGTCATATTGAAGATTTAGCGCTGGCTTATCGGAGCTCTAATGCCTCCTATTTACGTCGAATTTTCTTATAAAATTAGTATATTTCGAAGTAAAACTATGTTTTTTCAACTTCTACAGCCAGCACCAATATTGTAGTAAACAAATATGTCACATTTGTTGTTTACCTACGTAATTCTAAGAGATGCTGTGTAGCTGTCCTTGTTGCTCGGAACATGCGCTGACAATTATTGCATATACTTACTGAATTTACCCAAGGGCCACTAACTATCTAGTGGCCTCGAAGAGGACAGAAAGCCGGCAGATTTTGCCAGTGGAGGCTAATAGATCAGCCTTAAGTATTTTGTTCTCTCCTGATTCCATGTATGACTGGCCATCCTGTGAGCTGAGGATGTTGGATGAGCTTGTAGCTGGTTTTTGATCTACACTGTGTGGTCCTTCATACAGAATAGGGAAGCAGAGGCCGAGAGAGGGAGCCAGTCGGCCTAGCGGACAGCACACTGGACTTGTGATCCTGTGGTCCCGGGTTCGATCCCGGGCGCCGGCTAGAAACAATGGGCAGAGTTTCTTTCACCCTATGCCCCTGTTACCTAGCAGTAAAATAGGTACCTGGGTGTTAGTCAGCTGTCACGGGCTGCTTCCTGGGGGTGGAGGCCTGGTCGAGGACCGGGCCGCGGGGACACTAAAAAGCCCCGAAATCATCTCAAGATAACCTCAAGATAACAAGAAACAGCATATTGCTGTGTGTACCTAAACATGTTAAAAAATACATTGTTTGAGAGGAGTCTTGTAGAAACTGGTAAGAGTAATAATATAATGTTTCCATGATTCAGTGCTTACCTCTTGTGAAAATCGTGAAGAGTTTTTTTTAGTCAGAGTTGATTTGTTTTTTGTATTGAGGCTGGTATTTTGTACCTTGATTCCATGTATGTCTAACCATCCTGTGAGATGGGAGTATTAGATAAACTTATAGCTAGTTTTTTATTTACTCTGTGTAATATTCCATATAGAATAGGGTAGAAGCACATTGCTGTGTGTACCTAATCTTCTTAATAAAAAAAAATCAGTAATAAAGATTTTAAATTATAGTTTGTATTATTACAAGTACTGTATTATCCTTATTAAATCATGTTAACCATGGATCATTAAGATCTCATGTTGATATGTAATAGTCATATTTCTTTTGAACTGCTTATCCATGCTAATCATTTTTTAATCATTCATTAAATTGTGCATTATGTCTCAATTTTTCACTTCCTTGGATATA